TGAGGAATCACTAAACACCCACCAGAATGGCTAAAATAAAATATAGTGACAACACCAAATGCTGACAAGGATACAGGGAAACTGAATCACTTATGTTGCTGGTGGTACCAAGATGGTACCACCACTCTGAAAGAGGGTAGGGCAGTTTCTTACAAAACTACACATGTGCTTGCTATATGACCCAGCAATTGCACTCTTGGGCATTTATTTATCCCAGAGAAATGACAACTTATGTTCACATAAAAACTTATACACAAATGTTCATAGTAGCTTTGTTCATAGTAGCCAAACCTGGAAAAAACCCAGATGTCTTTGACATGTGACTGGTTCATCAAACTATGTTACATTCATACCAAGGAATACAACTGAGCAATAAAAAGGAATGAATATTGATACATACAACAACTGGCGTGGATCTCAAGGAGACTGCGTTGAGTAAAAAAGCCAATCTTAAAAGATAACATGCTGTATGATTCTACTTATATTCTTAAAATGGCAAAATTAAAGAGATGAATTTTATTTGTCTGTTATACCTCAATAAAGGTGAAGGAAAAAAAGAGATGGAGAAGAGATTGGTGGTTGCCTGAGGTTGCTGGTGGTGAGGGGTAGAAAGTGAGCTGGCTGTGCCTAAAAAGGGTAACATGAGCAATTCTTGCAATGGAACTATTCTGTACCTTGACTGGTCATGGTCACTTTAATCTACTACATTGGTGGTAATATTGCACAGAACTAAATCTCATATACACATGTATATGTAAAACTTGTAAAATATGAATAAAGTCGGTGGATTGTGTCAATATATATTTCCTGTCTGTGATATTGTACAGTAGTTATACACAGATTTAACATTTGGAAAAAATGGGTAAATGATATATGTGATTGCTATTATTTCTTATAACTGTATGTGAATCTATAATTATCTCAAAATGTTAAAATAATTATGCAATGTGAACAAAGCCTTATCCAAAGAGTACATTTTGTATAATTTCATTCATAGAAGTCCTAGAAGAGGCAAAATTAATCTGTGGTGGGAAAAAACCCAGAACAATGGTTAC